ATAAATGTTAATTTGCCTATCTAACGTTATTTTGATTGCCAATACCCAATAATTTGGTCTAAAAGCACAATTTTTGGCTATAGTAAGCCATAAAAACTCTCCCCATGAACCTTACCAGAGATTTTTATTCCGGAAACCCTGACTAATGCTTGGTTAGGACCCTCTGTCGAACATGTCTGATCCCCCTGTTTCCCCCGAGTGCGATGTCTACGAGGGGAGCGTGGGCGGGGCAGCGACCCCACAGATAATTTAGGATTTGACAGGCTTTATTAATCGATTTTAGGGTCTCATAATCTGTTAAGTTACAGCATAAGAATTTTTTTCCAACGAATTATGCTATTGTATTTCTCTGGTTGTCCGGATTTGGCGACTCGGGATGACAAAATTGAGTACCAGCAGGATAGCCTGTAGGTACAACTATGGATGCTATATCGCCAATTATTTATGGCTATGAGGTGAGGACGTAAATTCACCCACAGATGTACCATAGTAGAAACACCATTCCACGCCATCGTCGTTTTTAGACCTATCGTGCAGTACCAGTTACATTGTTAATTTACAGGTTTACATGTAAACATTTGGGAAGCAATAATAAAGTAAAACAAACTCCTAAGTAATATTTAACAATCCTGGTTAAAGTGCAAATCATACTCGCATTGCGTGGGCCCACGTGAGTGACGCGATGATAAGGACATGATTGTTGCGCGTGTCCCACCTGTTCAGGATCGTCGAAATCACCCGCACTCCCAGACCACACAATAAGATTATTCACTTCTTGATAATGTTCCAGGTAAAACATGAAAACATCATGTGATATCGACCAAAATATATGACACATTTTGACCCAGGGCGTTGATTAACAAGAGAGGGCACTGCAGCTAATTGGACGCGCAGACAATACCTGTACCCTGCCAAACTAGATACTTAACCACTGTTGAAATTATATATAATACCGGTATGTATCGCCGTTTCACAATCTCAATCAACTAATTTAAGCAGGTAAATTTGTTCGGAGGGGAAAATATTATATTTATTATTTATCTATCTAAAATCAATCCGAAGTAGAATTGAAAATTTCAACCAAACCGTTTGTTATGCGCGAGCACACATTTCAATCCGTCTTTTCGACAAGTTTTAAACAGTAAAAGCAAGGCGCTCTAACCTGTTGCAAATCATTTACTCACCTGTTTGTTGACCACGTGATACGCAATAGACCGATTCATTTATAAGCATCGTAGGGTAAAATAGTAAACATTAATATTGCTATCAGGCCGACAAACGCTCTATTTTTATTCCTAAGTTTTTGTCAGCAGTTCTACCATCCAACTCAGCGCATGATGGATGAGCTATGTATTGTTTACGCGTATCAAAGGACTGATAAAAACAGACACAATGTATTCGCCGTCACAAATGATATCGATGTTTACAATTCCAACACAATATAAGGTTTATTATATATATATGTTATATAAAGTATATGCTTCTTAGATAGGTCAAATGTGCGGGTAAGTAGGCTATGTACCGCTAATCGTACCAACAGTACATTCCAACTATTATTAAGGGTCTTAAACAGTCTACCATTTTAAAGGTCTACCTAACTAAAAGGAGTCTGGTCACGTAAGTATTATAGGGCCTAGGCCTATATTTATAATATTTCACCATTTAAGGGATAGTCAATGTTAAAATACAATCAGCAGACATTAATCGGGAACAATTTTTAAATTATAAAGTAAACATTAAATGAAGCATCATCCATTAAGGCGAAAGGCACGGTAGAAAAAAAATTATGTTTATAATAGGCCCCTACTATTAGGCTATAAGAGAATGACAATTAAGGCTCAGAAGCAAACACATGTGTTGAAGTTGTAGAAATTACACAAAAAGCATATTTGACGAAAACCTCGGAAGCGGTTAATGGCAAACAGATTTTTGAATATTTAAAAACTACAGTTCTACAACATACCGTAACATTTTTTCCGTTTTCCTTCGGAGCCTGGCTTTAATAATTACGGTATACCGTATGTAGTTAAAATATCGGAGTTTTGCAGGGAAATTAGTATGGCATTTTAATGTATTTGGGGGTTTTACACATTTATGCAAGCATATTTTACTTTCAAACATGATATTAAATAGGGGGAAAATCAGTTATAATATTCCTAGCTTATATAATTAATAAAGGCTGAATATAGTAACGTTATCGTTATTCAAATATTTGAGTCACTTGTCAAAAATGATATCTAAAATGTATCGAACTACAAATATAACATTGACATTGACCGAGAAGGTCTAGTTAATTGAAGATGCTTTTTACAAATAGGCCTAATTGAAATCGACCTGACAAAAACCTAATTGAAATCGACCTGAAAAAAAAAAAAAAAAAAAAAACTAAAACGGGGGAAAATAACAAGACAAGCAGTCTATGCAGTTAATTCAGAATTTGAATGGTCGACAAACACTATTGTATATTTCAGTCTAAATCCTTTCTTCTATCGATCTCCTTAATGTTGAATTCACAACAAATCAATCCCAGACAACACAGTATTATTTGGCTCACCACGCATTTCCAATTACCGTGTATTTTTCAAAAGGTCTACTATTACCATTATCTCATTTATACTTTCTTCTCTCTTCATCATTATTATAACAGAATGGTAAATAAACAATAAGCCTTTAATATTTCAATATAAATATTGCAAAAACTGATTGAATTAACCAACCTTCTTGAACAACAAATTTTAACTTTAAACCTTGTTGCTCCGCAGAAGTAAATATATCACTGACTACTTAAAAAGTCAGGCACAAGCATAAAGCAATATCCATTAACATAATTCGCGGTCATATAATTCTCCTATTCGTACAGTCACATAAACGTTTAGTAGCCATATACAGTAGCCTATTTAACCTTTTTTTTTTTACAAAAACTCAAACCTCTGGGCAAAACCATCCGCTACCTGGGATGTACACAGTACTGTGTAATGCATAGAGCACCACTGCATTCAACGCTACAACTGTGCACCAATACATGTGTAGTCCCAAGTGGAGAGACCAACAAGGACACAAATAAAATGTACGGCATTGGATTCGAGCCCTGACCTCAAGTTTGAGAGTCCCCGCCATAATCGCTTTGTCAACCTCCGGAAGCGGTTTGGCGTAGCAGCGAGAACCTCTTGATTTCCCAACCTTGAGGTCGCTGTGCATTTCGCTTGTGTCCTTTGAGATAGGCACTTTCATTTGTGTTTGGTTACCTGGTGGGGCTTTTGGCTACTTCGCGATATGGCAGCAACATTTAGGCCTAAGCATGTGGACCCAATGACCACGGAAAATACAGCGTTTCGTAACCTAAAGGAAATGCATTACATAATAATACCAATAACAAATAAATAACAAATAAACCACCCTCAATACTGGTTTCATCCTAAAAGTCCCTGCGCAATGTTCGTTACTGCTATGTTTTATTTTAGGAAATTATCTTCTTCCTAATATCATCATCCTCAGTGAACTTACAAAGCAAACTTAACCAAACTATTTCCTGCATTAATGAGGGTAAGTTCTTGCTAATGTTTTACCAAAGTATCTCTAAAATGTAGGCCTATTTGCACCCTGGCCTCACTCAAGTCACGTATAGTCAGTGCAAAATTACAGTTCGCTAGTAATTAGCGTGTATGAATGCTTAAGTGTTCTGTGTAGATTCGAAAAGACACCAAGCCAGATCAAGGGAGGACACTGGTTCAATTACGATGGCAATCAAGGGAAAACTTCCGGCGGCTTGTCCAATAGGCTAATTCAGACATATTTTGTCAATTTGAAATAAGCCTAATGTCAAATCAAACTATTTTGGGATATAGGCCTACTAAATCATCTTCCGCTTTGAGAGAGAACAGTCAAAGTCAGTGGCATATCTAGAAGTATTGAAATGGGGTGGTGATGGGGGAGGGGGCGCGAAGGTAAAGTGGGGGGATCGATGATCATTTGAGGGGCGCTAATTCGCAAAATAAGGTGACTACTTGACTGTGATTTTTTTTTGTTTTTTTGGGAACGACTGATTTTTTTGGGAACGACTGGGGAGGGGGGCACCACTGATCAAAGTGCGTTTGCTTGCCCTTAACCTCCAATTAGGCCTATGAGTAGGCCTATGTATAATCTGAAACATCCATGCTATATGCATAGGCCTACATAAAAATGTAGTAGTAGAGTGTGTACTCATCTGATTTCGCACTGTTCAACTGTACTTATCTTTAAATTCCTTTATACTTTAATTGAAATTAATTTTTATTTTCACCGAATCATATACAAAGCATGTGTAAGCATAGAGAAAATAGAACAGGTGTAAGGTAGCATGTCTGCTACCTTAGAAAGTGTTCGGAAATCGGTGTAGATGGTGAAATCTTTCATTTTATTTAATAGAAATTGATGTCGGAAATCTGTGTGGGTTGTATCGACAGGGACAGTCTTTAGGCCTAAGTGACACAGAATGTAAGTTTGAGGATGCATCGTCTGGCCAATGTTGGAAAACCGCGGGGTGTGCGCCAAGTGATTTAGTTTAACGGCTGCATTTATGGCATTTCCTATATCAACAGCTGAAAAGATGATGAATTTTGCGCAGGTAAAAATGAAAAGTCAACAAACCTTTTTGAGAAAGTTCATTAGTAGCATGGTTCCTTTTCTTTCAGTGTGCTACTCGTCCAGGTTTGCAGCGTCAAGTTGTTAATGAGTACACGCGCAATTATCGGCTAGTTTGTTTCAAATCAGTCCTATTACACCCACAAGCAGCTGAGCTATGCCAGTAAATTTGAAACAATTTCCTGGTGGCTTGTATACCGTACCGTAGTATATCCGATAAACTGGATGTCGAGAGGTAGTGCTCGGCCCGAAACGGCTGTGGGACTTCTGCAAGAGGGGTGAACGACACGCATTTAGTCAATAAATACGGTAGTAGATGAATAAATGTATCAGTGTATCGTCAATCATTTTACATCACAGTCTAATATGTTCTATTATAGTAAACATACAACAGTCTGAGGATACGCTACTGGAAAAGTTACAACCAAACGGTTGCAGCCGATTGATGGTTGGCGAAGGCAAAGCTCAATACAAAGATAAGGTATATGGTTTAGATTGGTTGGTTTTGGCCCGAGTTTACCTTTGGGAAATCGCAGTTCATTTCAACGAACTTGACAATTTACGATTTACAGCCTAGGCCTATAGAATATTAAAGAACTTGATCATTCATCACTTCCCGAACGAAAACATTTAGAAAACATCCCAATAAAAATAGTGTTTTTATGAGGTCATAGAAGTCCCCGAAAATAGCCAACAGGAAGAAGTAAATATATTAAATGGTATGGGTGTACACACGCCCATTTGGCATTCCACCCATTTGGTGTACAACACACAATCCTACCTAGGTTAAATGATATGTACAGTGTATACTATACTTTGATTTTTGTACTTTGGAAATATAATAGTGCAGTTCATAGAGGCCTAGATATAGCAATAGGCCTATTACCCATACTACAGTAAGTATATCGTAATCGTTATTTAAACTGTCGCCAACGAGTGACGTGTATGCACATTATGGCGCCGTGAAACATGGCTGCACCTTCGAGTCGCGTTAAGCCGTCTAGAAAGGAATGGTCATAAACAGGACGATTTCAAGTTATCTTATAGCACTTGTTCGCACTCGCATGGTACTGGGCGTTTTCGGTAACATTAGCCTTTACCCCACAAAAAAGAAACAAATCCTTGACCGAGGTTACCTACGCACATTCAGAAATGTGTTTATCCTTTCTAATAACATGTAGGCCTATTTTATGAAAACGGCGTATCCTCTGGAGGTACCGGTATATGGTAAATCCCCTCAACTACAATAAATACCATTGGTACCTCCTACTTTGAAAAAAAAAATTAATTTCCTCCGAATACTAAGCTTTTTCTCCTTTGTACCATGGCACTGCACAAAAGCACGGCAGGGCAATCTAACTTTTTCGTGATGACAAGACGGACATTAAGTCGGCAGTTTTTAACGATTTATGGCATGAATGTTGATTGGTAAGGGCCTACATACCAACATGGCAATATACATGAACAACACCCCATAATTCAGACAATGTTGATCTGTTGTTGACGCGAATCAATTAAACCATCAAATTGATAACAACAGACGTAGTTATCAATCATAGTACACACCGTCGCGTTATAAATACATTCAGCTATTATTAGCTGATCGATAAATATTGTCAGACTATGCCCATGAAATGGATTTTGACATCAGTGAAGAACAACAATTGAATCTTATCTTCATCGTTAATGAGGAAGGTAATATTGGTGGTGCCTAGCGGGGTCCAGGGAGGCACAATACTCTGCCAGGGGACCACGAAACCTCCCCGTCGGGGAAGAAACCATGACATTCCGTCAGGGAACATTGACCTGCAACCCCAACGCACTCCAGCCTGGTGTCCTCATGCATTCGCATCTATCGCCTTAGCCCTCAATCCAACCTGCTCTATTGTACCAAAAACTATCGCCCATGATAGGCCTACGCATCACCACTCATCCTGCACACAGAGCGCAACCTCTTTTCACCCCACCTCAACCTCTAATTCCATGTAAGTAAATTTGTCCTAAATCTAAATTAGATGTACTAAAATTATAAATTCAATATGAAAACTTGCATTTTGTCTTAATGTCAAATTCAACTAACCTGTAGGGAACCTGTCGAAGATTTTTAATTGAAAAATTAGCATGCAATCAATAACGGATTGCCAGTAATATGAATTAATGTATTCAGTTTGATTAAATTATTGTAAATAACATTTCATTTCTCTTATGACAATAGATGAAAACGTTGAAAAATGAAGACATATCATGACGATAATGAAAATGCTAAATCAATATTAATTTGCGTATTTAAAGTTGAAAAATCATTTTAACGAATAACGGTATAATCGATACTGAATTTGGACAATTCAATGGCCTAACATACATTAGAAGTACACTTTAGGTCTTTCTTTCATATATGTGACATTTTTTACATTTTGATGACGTCATCTGGCCAAGTTTCAGTGGTGGTGCAACTTAGTTCAAGGTTCACGGCAGTGCCCTGGGTATGGAACAAGTGACAACGGTCATATAAATACGACGACGGCGCATTTGTTATGCATTCCAAGAAAAAGTAAAATTAGTCAAATATCACTAAAGTCGTGGACGCATTGGAGATCGATTTTTGGTGGACTGGCACGAACCTCTGGCACAGTGACCATTTTACAGAAGTTCCTGGTCTACAGTACTTCCTAACGTAAATTGCATTCTATTAGCTTTCCACCCGTATCAAAAAGGCCAAGTAAAACTCATTAAATTAACTCTTAAACATCACATTGAAGATAATTACAACCTACAACCTTAATCTAATTACCTTGAGAACAAAATATTAATGGCTTATTTTGTATTCTTTCACTTGAATAAAAAAGGAAATATATATCTAGGTCAATCCATGGATGTTATAAAATAATACCATTCCTGTATGTAGGGCAAGACATATCTTTTTCCAGCAAATATAATTTTGTTCAAGTTCAATTTATTCACATCATCAGTATTATCAAAAGAAACGAAATAAGTAAAATACCATAGAGCATGCATTCCTTGAGCATGCTAGGAATATGATATAAATTATTGCAGTCTGAGCTGTCCTTGTTTATATAGTAAAATGTCTGTAGATCATTGCATTGTTTTTGATATTATTAACTTCTTTTTAATTAGCATTTTAATTCAGAATTTAAATTCTAAAGGGTAAAATATTAAATTCCTTTTCTATACAAGTTACGATGACACGAATCAGACCACGAACACAAAAATGATCCGGTAAGTTTAAAAACGAATTCATGAAGAGAGAGAAGAGAGAGAGAGAGAGAGAGAACAAGAAATGGAGATGTCATCTTAACCTGAACATCAAATGATAATTTAATTACAACGATGCGTCTCACGATTTTATATACTTTACATCAGGATTAAGAAAAATCCATGAAGCCAGGTAGTTCATCTAAAAGGTATATGTCCCCCGGAGCTAGCATTTTCTTCTGGGCTTTGCATTTCCTCTTTAGCCTAGAATTTCCCATGTATTTCCTTTGGGCCTGGCACTACCTTGAGCTCCTGTGATAGATAGTTTCATATCCGCTTTATTTTAATGGCTTGAAAAAAATGCGAGTCTTCGGATCAGGGAGGTATAAAAATAACGGATATATGATGTGTTCTGCATGTTGTAAGTTCGTTTTCTGAGTGCGTTAGGTGGATAGGCTAGAATAATTGTGTACATGAAGACAGTATTTTCTTGCCTGTTGAATACCATTAAAAGCTAAATTTTATTCTAAATAAACTAATCTAACTCTGCTATCTGAACAAGTATATTTCCATTAAAAATGATCTGATTAAAAGATATGCTTTTAAGGAACGAGTTGCTGGGTGATATGAGTTGGTTTTGGAATGAGTGAGTATAGAAAGTGAAGGAAGGTTGAGTGAGACCTTTTAATATTTTTTCAAAGAGATTATATTTTATTTATCAAACGGATATGAATGTTTTAAATACGTGACATTGGATCGCATAGAGATATTATTCTCACATAAACCATATACCGGTACACATCAACACACCTAAGATCACAGCTTTAGCAACATTGTCATTCTCTTCTCCTACATAAGCGAGCCGTCCACACTTAATATTAACATAGACCTAGTATTTTAAAATGTCACCTTCCTTCTTGTCAAACCCAGCAAAAATAATCATTTAGGCCTGAAAAATATAGCATGACTGGCGGACCCAGGGGTGGCGAAAGGGCCGCTCGCCCCCATGGACAAGGTTGCCAAAACGCCACTATAACCATGTCTACAATTATTTATATGGATTAAATTGAGCTTCCAGGGGCATAGAAATAGCCTTCTGGACCCCAACAAAAAAACCAACGCTCCCCTCGGACCACAAGATCCACCCTCTACCCTCTTTAACCATAGCTCCTCAATCGCCACTAGCACACCAGTCAAAAAAAAAATCCTCTCAACCACTGAACATCGAAATTGTACCTTATTGCATACGGTATGTATATTGTGTGGGTGGGTATTCAAAATGATACCGTCACTGTTGGAAATGTATTGTAATGTATATCGTGTGGGTGATGATACTGTCACTGCACTCTTTTCCCTATCTCCGCTCCTGCCAATTCCTGAACATCATGCACTTTCGAAGTTCACACTTAAGTAACTGTTTATCTGATGTGATTAAGACCTGAAGATTAATTGCAATATTTAGTTGCGGCTTGTATTATAGTTAGTTTCTATTTTTAAAAGCAGAAAAAAACTCGCCTTTAGCTACGTAAAATATTATTCCTGCTTCATAAATCCACAAGTATTCAGTAATCTAAAAATGGGTTAACAGAGCGGAAGTGATAGATGTGTTACCAGAAGGGGGAATCATTTGCCAGAGGGGGAAATTAATTGTGCTTAGAATGAAAACAATCTATATTTGTCTGTTTTTATCATCCAATTGATAAATATTTGCATAACTTCACATCATATCCAAATGGGTTCACGTTTTCTAAGTCAATATGTATTAATTGTTTCAGTGGAAAATATCACTATTCGCATTGTAGATCACGTGGTAAGTGTGGGAATATCTTTACGTGTTGTCACACTCTGTGTTTAAACAGAGCTGTTTCATAGCAAATTATGTTCCATTTTTATTATAAAATCTTCAATCTGACTAGTTGTTGTTATCTATTAGAATGCGTACTTATAATTTAAAAAAACCATTCTATTTCATTTAATTAAACAATAATTTAAATATAAAAAATAAAATAAAATTATTAGAATAAAATAAAATAATATAATATAAAAACAATAAAATAATTGATAAAAAGAAATTCCCTAAGCCTATTATTAATTACAATGTTATTATACAAGGCGAACTGGGTGGAAAGGAACATGGTCCACCCACCACAAATGCAAGACTAGTGTTTTTGACAGTGAACCGGACACGGCGGTAAAATATTGACCACATACTCGCGGCGAGAGCGGTTGGTGAACCAGCCAGTATGTGAGGACACAGGTACCATAAAG